ATCATTAAAGATAGTTTTTTTTCTCTGCCTCTTTAAACTCTTGCACTGTTCACATACAAATGAAGCATCATGCGACCATCCTTGAAGTTGAGTTGCATCTCATACTTATCCCACAGTTCATTTTCTGGCTTAAACTGCTCAAATACTACCTGATAACTGTGTTTCTTTCATGTATACTTTAAATTTTTATTAAACTTGATTAAGTTCTTCTCTTACTCTTTTCAAGCATTAAGTCGTTCATTTATAAAAAAGGAAATATCTCACACCTTTTACCAGTTGGCTGGATTCTTCTTTAGGCCAAAATACTTTTCCCTCATTTAGTACGAAACTATTTTATTTGAAAAATCAGTACCTTATTTTATATGAAAAACAGTACTTTAAAAGGATATAGTACTTTACATAAACAAGAATTATGATTGCACATAAAAGAAGGCAAAATGGCAGTTAATTGAATTATGGCTATAGGATTGATGTAATTAAATTTGCTATATTTTGACATTATTCACATTGGCTAACAAATAACTGTTAAGTAATAAGGAAAATAAGTGAGCTCATAAGTAAGTTATTATTATTTAATTAATGCTATTATTAGTGAATTAAGTCCCGATTAATAGTCTCCAATGGAAAAATATTTACAGGGATGAGAAATAATAAATAAAAAGAAATTTTAAAATGAATAAAAATTGTGCCATACTCTTACTAGAGCTAACTTTCCCTTCAAATTGAACTATCCTCTGGACCTCTTCTTTATAACATTATATTATTATTATTATTATTATTATTATTATCCTTTTTGAGAAGCCCCATGATGATAGAGAGCTGGCTTCCCAGTCAGGAATATCTGAGTGTTCACATCCCGCCTCAGATGCATACTGACTAGGTAACACTGGGCTAGTCACATTATCTCTTAATGCTCCAGGCAACCCTCTAAGACAGTAATTCACATCTCACCCTCCCACAATCAGTGGGGTTTGTCTCCAGTACAGCCCTATCTCCATTTCCCCTATTACCATCCGCTATTTCCCCATTCTGCCTTTTCTTGCCAATGGCCTCCTGTGGGTGTGTGAGTTCCCAAACCCCCTTCCCCCGACTTCTGCTTTAGGTGTAGTCCCCTCAGGACAGTTATAACCTAACTCCAACCAGGGCACTCACATCAACAGTTTATCCAAGTCAAACTTCCCCTACCTCTAGTGTAAAACACTCATTCCTCCCCCATTTCTATAATAAGTAAGACCTCTGAGCCTGTGAGAAAAAAATTTTACCCTCCTTGTCATTTTTTGGTGAAACAGAGTGGGTCACACAAGATCAGTAGTTAGGGATAGATTATGATCTGCATCAAAATCTTATTCCATTCCCTTATCCCCCCAAAAAACCCCAGAAAAAACCAACTTCCTTTCTTCTCAGCTTTCTTTATTTATGTTGAAGATGCCACCATTTTTCTGCTTACCCATGTTCACAAATTCAATATCATCCTGGATTTCTACCTCTCACTCACCCCACAAATCCTATCAAGTTTTCAAGTCTCAAAGATTCTGCCCCTATAACATTTCTCACATCCATCTCCTTCTTTCTACTCACACAGCTACCAACCACCCTTAAACCTCATTACCTTTTACCTGTCCTAATACAAGAGCCTTCTAATTGATTTTGCCTCAGATCTCACTCTTCTCTAATCCAAACTCCCCAAATTGATATTCCTACATGGCAAGTCAATACATTGTCAGTCTTTTACAGAGTAAAACCTAGTGCCTCCTTATTGATTCTGGGACCAAGTATTATTTTATTTTTGTCTCATCCTTTTTAATCTTCTATTTCTGTGTAAACCTTTTTTTAATGGAAGTTATGTTTTAATAAACATAATTATTAATGTAGTCATACTATGTATATAATTTATAAATGAGTATTTATAAGTAAGTAAATATTTATATGTATGTAGCATGCTCACAATTTTTTATTGATGGAATGTAAGACTGTAAGTTACAGAGCAGTTGTGAATCTGCATAGGTAGAGGGAGTTTCTTCATTGAGTGTACCCTATACCAATTAAATCTTGCCTTTTGATTTTGTTATGCTAACTTTTTACTTATCTCTTTCCCTCCCCTCCCAACTGAGCCATTTCTTGTAACAAAGATTTTTAAAAGAAAGAAAAAGTAAAAGTAGTTTAATAAAAGTAACTGAGTCTGAATGTGCACCCTGTATTCTACACCCATTGTCCACTACTTCTGCAATGAAGAAAGTGAGTGAAATGCATTGTCTCAACTCTTCTTGGGCTAAGCTTGGTCATTATAATTACGTGGCATATTGTATTTGGTTATTTTTGTTTTTCCATTTAGGTCATGGCTTTGTAGCTGAAAGGGATCTCAGAGACTTTTTTATCCAACCCCCTTATTTTATAAATGAGAAAGTTGAGGCTCAGAGAGATTGTAACTTCCCAAGTTCTCATAGATAGTGTCAGAGGAGAAATTTGAACTTAGCTTCTTTGACTCCAGAACCATTGTACACAGTGTTTCCTATATTATTGTCATTGTGTAAATTAGTTCTATATTAGTATATTAGTACTGGTAGAATGAGTGGAGGAGAGCTATTTGTTCTAATGGGGCCATGAAGGTGGCTGAAACAGGTACTGTGGAGTGCTTGGAGCTTAATCAGACATCAGAGATGCCAAGGTCATCCGCTTCATTCCAGGCCATTGCCAGTCATCCTGATTTTTGTCTTGCCATTGGATTTCAGTGACTCTGAAAGAGGCAGTGAGGCTGATGGCTTTGTGCAACTCTGCCTCACTTAAATCCAATCCAAGTGCAAGTGAAGACCCGTGATATCTTTGGTTTTCTTTGAAAAAATGATCAGTTTTGAAAAAACGACGGACAAACAATGGATGTTAATTCTTATGTGGTTCTTTTAAATTAAATTTTTCTTTTAAGTTGTGAACTTAATCAACAACAAACATTTAAGTATACGATGAACAAAAAAGAAAGGGGCCGCTAGGTGGCGCAGTGGATAGAGCATCCGCCCTGAAGTCAGGAGGGCCTGAATTCAAATTTGGCCTCAGACCAAACACTTGACACTTACTAGCTGTGTGACCCTGGGCAAGTCACTTAACCCCAATTGCCTTAAAAAAAAAAGAGAGAGAGAGAGAGACTACGTGTAATAAACGGAACTTGTCTTGTTGAATTTGTTTTGGAAGGAGTATGTTTGTTTATTATATATAATTTAACAAGGTAAATATGTCTTTCCATGCCTCTGTGAATTCATTGTATCCATCATGTCTTGTGATAGAGTAATAGTTCATTAAATTCACATACATAATTTGTTTAGATATTTCTCAAGTCTATGGGCATATACTTTGTTTCTAGTTTTTTTGTTACCACACAAAAAAGGGGGATTATTGTGAATATTTTAGTATATTTGGTCTTTCTGTCTTTGACCTTTGTATTTCAGAGGTCCTACTCAACTCTGGTCTTTTCATCAAAAATGCTTGAATGTGCCCAATTCCATCAAAGATCCATTTTTTTCCCCTGTAGGATTTTGTTCAGTTTTACAGAGTAAGTTATTTTTGGTTGTAAGCCTGTATCTTTTGCCTTTGGGAATATTGTGTAACAGAATCTTCTCTTGGTAATGGTAGAAGCTACCAGGTCTTCTGTGGTCCTGTGTGTCTTTGGTTCTTGAACTGCTTCTTTCTGATTGCTTGTAGTATTATTTCTTTGTTTTGGGACCTATGGCTATGACATTTTATGATGAGGTCTCCATGGATTTTTTAGATTCAGAGTGCTGGATATTCAAGTCTTTCTCTGGAGCTTAGGGCAGAATGCTAAACACCTGAGTAGGAAGGGGGAGCCCTTGGCTTTTGCTATCTCTAGATACAAAGCCCTGAAGGTGACCTGTATCTATCTCTGGCTTGTCTCAGGTTCCTTGGAAGGCTTGTTTGCCTATGCTGTCCTTGGCTTTGCTGGTGGCCCCCTTTCCTACTGCCAGTTGGGTTTCTGGATAACTTTTTAATGAATTTCTGGAGTTGAAGAAGCCATTTCCTATAGTTTCTCATTGGATCTTTATAAACATTTGTTTCAGAGCAAATTCAAATCTTCAGTAGGTAGGTGAGAGCTGGGCTGCTTGCCTTTATTCAGATAGCCATCTTGGCCATAAGGACTGGAACAACCTTTAGTGGCCCGGTAATGTATGTAAATGCTGCTGCTGGTGCATTCTGTAAAGAGCTGGGCCTGTAGTCGGGATTACTTGAGTTCAAATCCAATTTCAGACATTTACTAGCTATGTAACCCTGGACAAATCACTTAACCTCTGTTTGCCTCAGTTTCTTCAACTGTAAAATGAAGATAATAATAACAGTTCCTTCTCAGGGTTTCTGTGAAGATTAAATGAGGTAATATTTGTAAAGAACTTAGTGTAGTGCCTGACACATAATGAGAACTTAATAAATGTTTGTTGCCTTCCTTCTTTTCAACATAAACCATGTAATAGTGATCTATCTGATAGAACCTATCATTTCCACACTCTGATCCAATTGTGGCTTAGATTCATAGTAGAATACCACCCCTCTTACTGGAAAAGTGAATTAAATACAATTGTAGATATTATCTATCCAAGAGACTTTGTCCTTTGCTTGAATTATTTCATTGACAACACATTTTAAAGTAAGACTTAAGACTACTTGCTAAACTTAATTAGTTTTCCCTCCTACATATTCTCTGTGAAAACAATCTAAAAATCCCATGTGAATATTGCAGTCCCCATGGCCAGTCGTCTCATTATTATCCTTGTAGCATTTCATAATTCAGGAAGAAGTCTAAAATACAATGTATCCCTGTTTTCCATAGGAATTTAAGACTTGGTACACTGTGTATGCCTGTGATGATGGTCTGATGACTTCTAAGGCTCTGTTTCTTGTTTTAGATAACTAAAGTAGTAAATGTGGAGGAGCTTATTGTAATTGTCAGCCAGGAGTCAAAGGCGTACCTAAAAATAAACATTTTCTTTTTCTTTGTACAGGCAAAAGAAGTTAGAGGTAGCAATGGAAGAAGAAGGATTGGCAGATGAAGAGGTAAGATAGTTTTCTGGTTTGCTGATATGTCTCATGATTGCATAGTTCAGAATATCATCACTTGACTTATAGACCTTATATTCCATCACTTCTAGTCATAAATCTGTTAAAGAAAAGGAAAAAAGTCAGAATACTACTTATATAATTTTCCATCACCATTTTTAGCAGTAGTCACCAAAAGGAAGACTCAGACATTACCTAATTTATTCTTTTGTAAATGAGATTATACCTCCCTAAATATTTTATAGTTTTAATATATACATGTACATATACAAAAGTAGTTTGTTTCATTTAAAATAGAAGTGGGTTGATTTGTTTAATAAAATTGATTTACATAGCCAATCAGGGAAACTCATTTTTTTTCCAACTTCCCCCCTCCCTCCCCCCAAAAATTACTTTTCTTCTTTGATTTACTTAAGGAATCTGTGAGTTCGTCAATTTAGGTGTCCCCTTTATCAATGCAGATTTCAACCCTTCAAAATCAGACAGTTTAATGAATTGCCAGGAACCCCCAAATTCGTTACCTGATATTAACAGACCTCTTAGAAGATACATATACTGGTCCTCAGAGGATAGACTCAATGTCCATAACTCAATGTCCTGGACTCAAGTTAGAAGTCTTTCCAACTTGGTAAGATATGCCAAAATTTGAGCTTCTTTAAGAACCTCGAGTTCAACATAAATTACTATCAGAGCAGTGTCTAACTATGATAGATCTTCAAAACTCATTTTATTTTATGACTACAATTATTTATACTCTTGACATTTTAGAAAGGCTTAGTGCTGTAAGAAAGCACTTAGAAAGACAGTAAGATTAATGAAGCCCATGCTTTCATTTCTACTTATTGCTAGTAAAAGCTTCTCTCCATATTAAAAAAAATCTACTGTTTGGAAACTGATGCAAAGTATCTCTGCATATAATAAGATCTCTTTGAATGATTATTTGCTACCATTGGTTACAGTACTTTTTAGTTGCCCTTCTAAATAATAATCTAATGGAGAAGTTTCGTTTCTTTGCATTCCAAAGTTTTAGAGTTGGAGGGGAGTTTCAAGATCATTTAGCCAAAGTTATAAAACAAGAACCCAGAAGGTTAAGTGAGTTTCACAAGATCATACAGCTAATTAGCAGCAAAGTAGAACCAGGACCCGTTATCTGCCTTAAATTTAATCCAATCTCCTTTGGTGATATTTGTCACAGACCTGTTGTATCTTGATTATAATGCTATTTTTAAAAAAATTACATGAATAACGTTGATTTGAATACTATGAATATTCAGGTTATATTAGTATACATTTATGCTTTAATTTAAAACATTTAAAATGTTTTTAGACAATTATTTAATCTGATTTTTTAATTCAAAATTACTTTAAATCTATCCCTGAATGCGTGTTTGTGTGTATTTCCATGATATATGTTTATGATGTGTATACACACTTACAAGCATTCGTGAAACCGAAGAAAACCATACATTGCTTGCTCTATTTTAGGAAAACCTAACCACACATACAATATGCTTCACTCATATGGAATGTTAATAGTAGAGATTTTTAAATACTACTTGTTCAAACTGGAAAAGATGGAGCAAGAGGGACTGGGTGTAATATGTACTGATTTTAATTGTCTTGTTCCTTGTGTAGCCCACAAAAAATGTTTAAACTAGTTTTTCCTGAATATTTAATCTGTGATACAAATAGTAAGCAAATAAATACATATTCATTATTCCTAGGGTTTTTTTTTAATTCATATCTGCTATAGGTACATAATTTGCGAGGCTGATTTTGAGTACATGACTTTACTTTTACTGAGTCATTTAATTAACAGTATATGAGCAATGTGACTTTAAACATTGCATTTATTATTTTTTATTTTTTGAATGATGATCTGTACATTAAATATCTCTGCTAAAAACACATGAGTTATTTGTTGTGGAATGTAATATAAGACATCAGATGAGTAATGTTGCTGTTTTCTCTCTTCCTTTTTTGGGAGTGGGTGGAGTTTAGTTTTAAGAAATAGTTGGTCTTTTTTTTTCCATTCTGATTAAAGCAGTGCAAGTTTTCACGACTATACCCAATTACATTAATTTTATAGTGTTAGAGGCAGAAACCCAGCTGCTTCAAATAATTCTTGCATCAATTCATTTCTGTATTTTTTTTTAATTCAAAGTATTTAAAGCAAATGGTTCTATGATGCCACCTTGTGGTGTATTGATAGAGTGAAAAGGATAACGTGGTTTAGTGAGAAGCCATTTTTAGAGTTAGCATTGTTTGCTGTTTACAGAGAAATCAGTTTTCGAAGTTAACCCAAACTACTAGAATGTGTCTGACATGAATGGAATGCCAAATTCTGTAGTACTCATGGCTTGTTTATGTTACTAGCTGACTTTTATGCCGGATCCAAACTTTTAAATTTCCTTAATTATTTTTCCTGGCAATCTACTTACTTGTATTTTGCTTTATGGTCAGTATCAAAGTATGGTCAGTGAGGGAGGATATGGAGTAAGAACAAAGATTGCTCCATTTTGATACTTGGTTTTTATCATCACTCACTATCAAGCATTTTAATGATTTTATAAATCATGCAGTTTTATCCTTTGATATTTGAATGAGTGACTTAATTTAGCTGGGCTAACTGCAATTGAATTTAGAACCCAAGTCATTTTTTGCCATAAGCTTCTTAAATTATTTATATTTAAGTCTAGCAAGATATATTGGACTCTAGTAAGTACATTCTGAAGTACTTGATTCGGTAAATGATTTTGACATTTATTTCATTAGTTTAAATTTTTTGACAGCGTTTATTATACCATATTGTAAAGCTTAGGGACAATGTCTTATTCATGCTCATTTCCCCCATGTTACTTTGTAATATATAGAATATGTTCACTAAATATTTATTGAATGAATTTTCAAATAAGGGAGCCACACAATTACCAACCATGTTATTAAGATCTGATTACCACAGATTTCTCTGGTAATGTTGTTATCAATTGATTTTAGTGCTAGGATTTTTAGTAATAGAATCCTTAGTAGAGCATACTGGACACTTTAGAAAGTTGAGTGGAATAAATTTCCTAAGAGAATTCAAATTGATGACAGCATGCTGTCAGTTAATAAATAAAAATCAAATTATACATAATTCAGAAATTTCCTAGTCCTTCAATTCATGTAATGAGTATGTCAGGCTGCAGTGAAGACTCATCTATTGGGGAAGGAATTGGACTAGTTGTTTCTCAAAGCTCTTCTATTTAAAGGAGTCTGCAAATAATTGAAGTTTTAAGATAATATATTATTGGTTTGTGTTTTAGAGTACTGGTATTTCTTTTTAAAAAAAAAAAACTGCTGGTTAGGCTGGATCTGAAGTAGTGTGTTCATATAGTTTTAGCATTCTCCACAAAATATTTTAATGCTTTCAGCATTAAATTATTAAAAGTTAAAATTATTAAGAATTAAACTTAAGGCTTTTCCTGCATCCATGCATATAAAAATTTTTTTATAGAATTACATGTCCAAGTCTCCCATACCTCATAACTGTTAGTGAATTCCCTTGACCTTTTATCTCTGACCAGACCAGAATAATAATGGTTAATGATAATAGCTAACATTTATATAGCAATTTAAGGTTTGCAGAGTGTTAACATTTATTATCTCGTGTGGTCCTCACAACGACCTTGTGTGACAGATCCTGTTATATTACCCACTTTTCAGGTAAGGAAACTGAGGCTGTGGGAAATTTAGGGAACTTTCCAAGGGTCACACAGCTGGTGAGAGTTTGAATGTAGAGTCAAGTGCTCCATCCACAATGCTAGAGATGTGCAGCAACACTCCCAGTGTGTCCTGAACTAGAGTCATGGAATTGGGAAATAATTAACAAATAAATGTACAGTAGAACCTAGATTATGTTAATATGCGGTTTTCTGAGTCAATATGCAGGGATCCATATATACATAGGCCCCTGTTTGTGTTTGAGTTTGACAAGTCAGCACTATACAAGGCTGAGAGAAATCTAAGTGTCTTTTGAAATTTAGATTTTCCTTTTGGGTTGATTTAAATAACTGCATGTTCCCATAAACAATCAGTCTGTTATCTCCCTTTTCTTCAGTTACAGGTCTAATTCATTGTCAATTTGCATTGTCTTTCTATGACAGATGTTTGGACTGGTGGACAAACTCCGGGTTGTCTGTTCAGTTGCTTGCCATAGTCTTCATCCACTCGGTTTTTCCTGGGTAGAGTCAGATGAACTCTTTTGAATGAATTAATTAGTTCTACTAGATGAAACAAAAGATTGGTATTCAAGGAAAGTAGATAAGGGAAGACTTGTTAGGAGGTCATGTCAATAGTCCAGGCAAGTGATGATGAGGGTCTGTTCTCGTGTGCTTATGAGCAGAGAGAAGAGAAATATAGAGAAGTTAACATCTAAAAATCTTGGAGATTTATTAGATATAAGAGGTAAGGAAGAAGGAAAGTTAACACCAGCATGTGACAGGGCAGAGAGCGAACATAAATGAAAAATGGTAAAATTCTTTTAAAAAATTTTTGCAGGGTGTGATTATCGTTTTCTTCTTTTAAACTGAAAAGTGAGTAACTTTGTAAACATTACAAAGTTATTGTAAATTTATGGTATTGTCAATTTTATATTGTATAATACACTGGTTAGTTTATGATAAAGGGTTATTGTTATTATAGCTTCTTTTGTAACCAGGGCTAAGGAGGAGACAGTGTTAGATGACGTTGAAGAGCTTACAGAAAGGGAAGGAGGAAATTGGGAAGTCTCTGAGGAAGGTCTCAGTCTTTTCCATGAAATAGGAGGTGAAGTTATCCTGCAATAACTGGGGAGGCGGCTACTGAGGTGTGCCTGGGAGCTTCAGGAGAAACTGAAAGATTCAAAACAACGGCTTGACAAATGAGATGGAGTCAGTAAGAGTACACTAGGAGAGCTGTTGGTGTTACATACCATAAATTTGTACCAAGTCTTATTTTGCACCAGGAGTGCAGAAAATGTCTTGGTGGTCGTGGTGGTGTGGTGTTGGGTAGAAAGGAGACATAAATGTCTGAAGCTTCTTAAACTTTTCTGCCCTATCGATTTTTACACTGAATGAAGAAAGGACACATAGGCTCATAGGATTTTAGAGCTAGAAGGGGGGGACCTTGGAGATCAGCTACTTCAGTCCAGTCTTTTACAGATAAAGACACTTGGGCCCTGAGAAGTGAACTTGGTTGCCAAATCAATAGAATAGTAAGTGGCGAGCCAGGATAATAATCTAATTATTATACATAAAAGTTCTATAAATGTCTCATTACAAACAAAAATTCTTTTACTTCACAGAACCTTTATTTCTAAATTTATATTGCAGACCTTTGTAAGAACAACTTTTAAAATAGATCGATCTTGTAATTTATCATTCTTTTTTTTTTCCCCGTAGAAAAAATTACGTCGATCACAGCATGCTCGCAAAGAAACTGAATTTCTCCGACTCAAGAGGACAAGGCTTGGTTTGGATGACTTTGAATCCTTGAAAGTTATAGGGAGAGGAGCCTTTGGAGAGGTTCATGTCTTTCCTTAAGTCCTGTCTTGATAATTCAACCCATCTTTTCTCCTGAGCCCCTGATTTGTCTTTTGGTATATTTATTAATCTAATATCATGTATTAAATCTTTTTTAATTTGGAAAGTAAAAAGTATTGTATTGAAAGACAGATTTTCTGAAATTTCAAATGTTACTTCTTTGTAGTACTGTAATGCATTTTACCATGTTAAGGGTTTTAAAAGAATTACTGAAATTTTGGGGATATGCTTGTAAATTATAGTAGAAAAAAATGTTATTTCCATTTCAGAAAGGTTATCTTTTCCAAATGGGCATGTCTCTTAGCTTGTGTTCCTAGGAGATATCTCCTAGGGTCAGATAGATTTGATATCTGTATATCTATACACACATATATGTATTTTTTATTAGATCTGTGGTTTTTTTGGTGTAGGGATCTTCCAGAGAGGAACTTCTTTCAATGGATACAGCACCTTCCTTGCCTGGAATATAATATAATCATCTCGGAGGGTTGCTTGGGGAGGGACCGCTTAAATTGTCCATGGTCACATAGGCAGTACAAATCAGAGTAAGGACCCAAATTTAGAGGTTCCCGATTCTGAAGCCAGACTTGACTACCTACTACTAACATAACCTTTCAGGAAATGTGTGACCTAATAGAGTGCTAAACTTAGAGGCAGGAGGACACATGTTCAGATCCCACCTCTGACACTTAAATAGTTGTGTGACCACGAAGAAGACATCGAAACTCTGAACCTCAAGCCTCTAAGACTAAATTATAGAGGGTTTGAGATCTCAGTAGATGGAGGAAATTTCCGTGCCTGTGAAATCCCAAGTAATTGACATATTGACATAGTCATGATAATGTCACTCACACACACACACACACACACACACTCACACAGATGCCACCTATCTTGATAAAACTGAAAATAATTTTTATTGGTGTTATTGATGGCTTTTATAGAATGTGTTTTTTTCTGGTTTGCTCTTGAATAAAGTTAATAGTCATGTGTTTCCCATGTAGATAGATAACATTTTGGTAGTATATAGTAGAAATTTATCATTGTAAACTCCTGTTATTTAATTAAACTCTACTTTGCTTTCTAAAGAGTGAATTTCATTATTTTATCCAGAAAAAAAATAGTAATATACTTTTTTGTTTCTAGGTACGCCTTGTCCAGAAGAAAGACACAGGTCATATCTATGCAATGAAGATATTGAGAAAGGCTGATATGCTTGAAAAAGAACAGGTACATATTATATAACATTTATACCCATCTGAAAGTACTCATTACATGTTGATTAGGTAGAAATAAATTTTGGGTTCTGAAAAAAAGGTGATGGGAGAGTTTAGAATAAAGAATTTAAAATAGACTCACAAACTTTTAGAGCTGTAAATCATTTAATCCCATTTTATAATGAAGAAATTAGGCCTGGGAAAGTTAAATGACATGCCCAAAGTCACATAAGTAGTTGGTAGCAAAGCCAGAACTGGAAGTTAACTATTAATTGTTTTTAATTAAAGCATATGAGGAAAACGAAATTGGAACCTCAGAATAACAGATTACTCTGTTTTGGTAATCTGGTCAGTTGTTGCCTAAACTTATCATTAGGTATTGAGTCTCTCCTAAATACGTACTTGCTACTACAGGATATAGGGCAGCTAGGTGGTACAGTGAATAGAATTCTGGGCTTGGAATCAGGAAGACTCATCTTCATGAGTTCCAGTCCAGCCTCAGACACTTATTAGCTGTGTGACCCTGGGCCAGTCACTTAACCCTGTCTGCCTCAGTTTCCTCATCTGTAAAATGAGCTGGAGAAGGAATGGCAGATCACTCCAGTAGCTTTGCCAAAAAAACTCCAAATGGGGTCACAAAGAATCTAAAACGACTCAACAACGACAACTGCAGGATGTGCCCATTTTCTTTCATTGTTTGTACTCTATCAAAAAGCAGCCTTCAACCACCCCCCTTTTCCCTTCTGTAGGAGAAATAAAATGCCTTCTTAATAAGTCTCATTTCCTCATATCTTTGATGACTGTTCTTGTGTTCCTGTGCCATTTCTGAGTTTTCTAGAGTTCACCTTACCTTAAGTTGCAAAGCAGTTACTGATCTGGATTGGTAGAAGGAGTTCCCTCCCTACACTGATGAAAAGAAAGGTTTAGGGGAGGGGACACACACACACACACACACACACACACACACACACACACTGCACACACACACACTGCACACATGCACACACATTTCTATTTTGTCAGGTGTTCCAGTTGTTTCCAGGCAACAGTAGTGTTTACCACTACATCCTGTTAAGCAAAATACCGTACTTACATCTTTCCTCTGCTACTCTTATACTCCTCACCTTTTGTATCCCTTTCGGGGAACCTAACCTCTAAGTTGACTTTGAGATATTCATGAATAATCAAGACATTTTTATTCACACTAATAAAATAAATTCCTGAGCCAATACCTGATGTATTCAAAAAGTTTACCATTTTTCCTTAATTGTCTCAAAATACTTTTTCAAAGGCTTAGAAGTGAAAATTCTCACCCTTGCTTTACAGTTTTGGTAATTAAATTCACTTATCTGGTGCCAGGAAATAAGGTCACAGTTAAGAATTATTCATCTGATTCTGGTGGTTTTATTTTCTTTTTTTTTTCTGTGTTTGTTTTTAAGTACTATTAAATAAACTGAGTAATAATATACTATTTTCAAAGGTGATATTTTAAAGAGATCACTAGTTTTTTTTTTCTTTTCATCCTAGATCTCCTTCATTACTGAAGGAGAGGTACTGAGTCACTAATTTATCACAATTATACATTAATGTGTGTTGCATTTACTTTTTAAATATAGGTGGCCCATATCCGAGCAGAAAGAGATATATTAGTAGAAGCAGATGGTGCCTGGGTTGTGAAGATGTTTTATAGTTTTCAAGATAAAAGGAATCTTTATCTAATCATGGAATTTCTCCCTGGAGGTAAACACAAACATGAGAGCAGTGACAAACTGAAGCAAACATGTCATTTTATGTATGATGACAAAAAGTACAATATTTATTTGTGTAGAGGTTGGCTTGTATGCTTTTAGTTATTAGTCTACAGAATTAATGAATTGGGGATTTGTTTTATGTCCTAGAATCGTTTTTAGTTTGAGGAGGAGAGCATTGTTTCAATGAATATCATTTCTACTCAACGATGATAATTCAGATTCCTTGATCATGAAAAAATTCTAGGACAGTGGTTTTCAAACTTTTTTTCAGTTATGGGCTCTTCACTTTAGACAAAATTTAGTGGAACCTCTACAGTAAAATTTTAAAAAATTAATTTTAATGCCTGCCAATAATGGCTACATAGTAAAATAAGGCTATATAAAAGGAAAACATTCTATTAAATGTCAGAGCATCTTTTATCTGCTTACAAAAGAGAATAAATTTCGGAAGAGTTAATTCCCTCTTTATATCTCTCAAACCTGACTTTTTATTTTAGTCTAAAGTGAAGCATAAAAAGATAGTTCTCTAAGAATCAAGATTGTTTTCTTCCTTAACCATACTCTTCTATGAGACCAGCGAGAGGGCCTTGTCCATAGCTCAATCAGTTGTTTATCCTGCCAGAATGTAACAGAAAGAACAAAAACCAGTTTTATCTTCCTCTAAGGTTCACTGTAAGAAGAGACTATTATAGAAGCTTAAAAAAAATACAAATAGAGGCATCTAAGATTTTTCTTCTTCCTAGTAGAATATAATGTTCTCTGGAGGAATATAAACATTTTGAGGGGCAGTGATTGTTATTTTTGTCTTTTTCTTTCCAGTAGAGTCCTTTGAATATAGTAGGTACTTAATAAATGTTTATTAATTTTAATTCTGGATTTCCATTGAAATTCTCTCTAGGAGAGGCCCAAGAGACCAAAAATTGGAATACAAGGTCTAACAATTTTTATAACAAATTTAATTCAACAAATATTTATTAAGCATTATTATTTTTAAGGCACTCTGCTAGGAGTTAGGGAAACAAATAATAAAAACATAAAAATTCCTGGTGTAGAGTAGCTTGCATTCTTTTGGAGAGACCAGATGGATACCAGATGACCCACATAGATACATCTCTATAAGGGAAGAAGAAAAGAGGAGAAATCCAGGTAAAGTGTTCTAGGTATATTTGAAGAAGGAGAGGACACTTTGAGTTGAAGAGATTAGAGGCGGCTTCACAGAGATAACTCCTACACTGAACCTTGAATTTAGAGATTCTAAAATAATCACAAAGAAATAGATCTGGGGCACGGAAACGGGAGATGTAATGCAGAATTCCAAGAACAGCTTACTGATATGTTTGTGAAATCGATTTAATTCAACATACATTTATCCTATAACATGCAAAGCACTCTGCTACATGCTGAGCATACAAAAACAAAAATTAAATAGTCCGTGCTGTCAAGGAATGTGTATTTTACTGTAGAGTTATAGGGTTAGAAGCCAGATTGCAAATGGTTGGTGGATTGTGAGGAAGTAGAGACAGAGCATAGTTCATTCTTTGTAAGAGTGTAAGTCAGATGTAGGATGATAATTTGATGACATGGCATGGTAAAAATCACATTGTTTTCCTAAAGGTTTTATTTTATTTTATTTTTTTTAGTTAATGTGTATGTAGATTATTTAAAAGCAGGACTGTCCTGGAAAACCTCCGGTGTGGGGGTCTTTGTACCCAAGTAATAGATAATGGGAAAAGGAAAGGAAATTTGAAACAAGTAAACCAAGAAAGTTGTCAAGAAAGGCAGGAAGGTAAAGAAAAGGTGGGACTTCCAGAGATGGAGATTTGAACAGCAGCCAAAGGAAAGGAAAGAGGCAGCTACTCAGTTAGGGCTTCAGAAAGGAGAAGGCATTGTTACAAAGCACAGAGAATGAGAGATAAGGACAGGGATGTAGAGCTCCCAGAAAATAGATTTCTTTCTCCAACTTTTGCTTCCAGTCTTACCCTTTGAGGTAGAAAGCTACAGAGAGCCCCAGGGGAAGGTAGGAAATAGCATCGTTGATTCTATTGCCCATTTCTGCCTTGATCTAGAGTTGCGTTGGAGAGTTTGAGGCCTGAACAAAGACTTCGTTCAAGAAGTAATGCTGGGGCTTTCCTGCCCTGCTGATGTCTGAAGAACTAAGAGCCCTGACTGATCCTCTGTAGCTTGACTCAGTTTAGCCTTTTGTCTCTGGCCAGGTCCCTGAATCTAGTGTCAGCTTAAGTTCAAATAGTGATTGAAGCTCCAAGGTGGTGGGTTTCTAGGAACAAACAGCTACATTATAAACACCCTTTCTCCCCAGATGTTGTTGAAAATACATAGGGTCAACATTGACTATAGAACCCTACAGAAATTGCACAAAGAGCACCACAGGATGATAGAATCATAGACTTAGAGCTGTAAGGGACCTTGGAGGATACTCTCTAGTACAATTAATTCCCTTTTTGAGGCATTTCATATAACATGCCTCTTAATTTCCACCATTCAGGAGACATGATGACATTACTAATGAAGAAAGATACCTTGACAGAAGAAGAAACCCAGTTCTATATTTCAGAGACTGTTCTGGCTATCGATGCAATTCACCAGTTGGGGTTCATTCACCGAGATATCAAACCAGACAACCTCTTATTGGATGCCAAGGCATGTGAATGAACTGATAAGCTCTAAACCTGCTGGTTATTATTTGGTAAAGAAATGGAGCTGTTGGTTTTTTCCCCCTTAATGTTTTTATTGATAATAATGGTCTTTTCTTTTTTATATTTCATTGTCACTTTCCAATGAATTTCAACCCCACCTGCAACTGTACCCTGTAGCACTCTTCCCTATAAAAAATAAGTATAGTCAAGCAAAAGGGATCGACGCATTGGCCACGTCTGAAAATGTATGCCTCGTTCCACACCTCTAGTCTACCACCTCTCTGCCAACGGATAGGAGGCTGACTTCACTATCAGTCTTCTAAAGTCATGATTGGTCACTGCATTGATCAGAATTCTAAAGTTGTTTTTCCTTTACATTGCTATGGTCGCTGTTTACATTGTTCTTCTGGTTCTGCTTACTTTGCTCTTAAGGAAGACTTTAGGATTTTCCAAATTTCTCTAAATTCTTCATATTTACTATTTCTTATGAAGAAGGGGAGGGGACATGCATTTATTAGGTGCCTACTATGTACCAGGCACTGTATTAAGAGCTTTATAGACATCTCATTTTTAGTCCTCACAACTCTGTGAGGAAGGTGCTATTATGATCCCCATTTTTACAGTTGAGGAAAGTGAGGCAGATGGAGATTAAGTGCCCAGGGTCACACAGCTAGTAAATATGTGAGACTGGATTTGAACTCAGGTGTTCCTGACTCCCAACTTAGCACTCTTATCTACTGTATCACCTACCTGCCTCATGACACAGTAATATTGCATTATATTCATATGCCACAATTTTTTAACCATTCCACAACTGATGGGCACTTATTTTCTTTCACTTCTTTGCTACCAAAAAAGTGCAGCATATAAACATATACATATACATATATATGTATGTATGTATGTATGTATATATAAAATTTTGTATATCAGACCTTTTCCTTTTGTCTTTGACATCCCTGAGTTACATGCCTAGTAATAGTATATTGAAGTGTCACAGTATATACATATTAGTAACTTTTGAAAAATTTAATGCTGATTTGTTTTCCAGAATATTTGGCCTACTTCACAGTTTTATCAACAGTGCATTAGTATGCCTGCCTTCCCAAGGCACTCTCTCCACCCCTTTGTTTACCATTTTTTTTGTTTTGTTACCATTAACTACAGATTTTTCCAAATGGAAATGGGCAGATTGAATTTTCATTGAGAGTAAACCACTTTATTTCACAGAATGAGGCAGATGGGGGAGAGAATCTGAGTGATATGGCATCAAGGATCAATATAAATACGTTTGAGTGTCTAGCAACCTTATAAATCAGGGGTCAGCAAATTATAACCTCTGGGTCAAACCCAAATCCTGTCAGTGGCCTGTTTTTTGTCAGTCTTCAAAGCTAAGAATGGTTTTTACATTTTTAAATAAAGTTTTATTGTATTTAAAATGTTTAAAGCCCTTCTTAGCTCCCTGACTATGCACAGGCCATTTTGGCTTTGTTCCTTAATTTGTAGACCCCTGTTGCAAATGAATAAATATCTTTTAATATAGAGTACTCTACTTTTTCACATCATCACACAATACTTATTATCTTCATGTATATTCATCTTAAACTAGATACTTTACAAGGCATATTTCCAAATTAAATCTAATAAAACAAATCAATCTCAAAATGTACTGAGACTTATCAGACCTTTTTTTTTTCCAGGGTCATGTAAAGTTGTCTGATTTTGGCCTATGCACAGGATTAAAGAAAGCTCATAGGACTGAATTTTATAGGAACCTCACACATAACCCACCAAGTGATTTCTGTAAGTTTCATAGTTTTCTAGTAAATGAGCTCAGTGCATTATTTTCAGGGACTTGATGGTTGCTAAGTTGCTTTTCAAGATGAAATTGCTTTAAGTTGTGAAAATTTATAGTATTGGCATGAAATTGCCAAGTCAAAGCTTTTGTATTTAGTTTTTCTGTTTAGTCTTTTTCACTGTATTTCAATCCTTGTTTTGTCGAAATTAGCATTTCAGAACATGAACTCAAAAAGAAAAGCAGAAACGTGGAAGAAAAATAGGCGACAATTGGTGAGTAGTTTTCAAGACAGGACCTTCATGCTATCAGCTTGGTGTCAACTTGACTGTCATATGATTGAAATTGTGGTATGTGGGTTTTTTGGTTTGTTTTCTGTCATTTTTGTTTGTTTTTAGCACGATCTAGGACCCACGGGTGGGAAACTTGCGGCCTTGAGGCTACATGTGGCCCTCTGGGTCCTCAAGTTTGGCCCTTTGACCGAATCTGAAGTTTGGCAAAGGGCCAAACTTGAGGACCCAAAGGTCCACATGTGGCCTCGAGGCCACAAGTTCCCCGAACCTAACTAGGCAGACACTGGGGAAGCCAGGTGGCTCAGTGGGTAGAGTGCTGGCCCTGGAGTCAGGAGGACATGAGTTCAGATGTGGCTCTTACTAGCTATGTGACCCTAGGCAAGTCATTTAACCCTCTTTGCCTCAATTTCCTCAATTGTAAAATGAGCAGAAGGAAATGGCAAATCGGTCCAATATCCTTGCCAAGAAAATCCTAAATGAGGTCACAAAGAGTTGGACACAACTGAAAACAAATGAACAACAATGAAAAGTAGACATTCCATCAAAATCTGGTGATGATTTTTTTCAGTCACAGAAATTCTTGAATTACCAGGTCTCCTAAAACATAGAGAGGTTTGCAGTTTGCATCCCTGGGAAAAATTTCCCCACTATTGAAGCACATCCATGAAGTATTGAAGTACATAGCTGAGAAAGAACTTCTTCTATAATCTTGCACAGAGAAACTAAGTTCATTGTACAGTTTCTTTGCATATAAGATAGTAATGGAGAGATGTAGCATGGAGGTGGGGCAAGGGGAGTCTGTAAAGAACTTCAAGCCTTGGAATCTGGAAAAGCTGATTCCAAGTCCTGCTTCTAATATGTTATCTGTGGGGCAAGTCATTTAATCACTCAGGGTCACAGGCATTTCTTTTAAGACTGCAAGTTTCCATTGAGCTGCTTATCAATGTCCATGGAAGTTGTCTCCATATTAGGAGTCCTCTTCTGCTCCCTGGCTTCCTTTAAGTCCCAACTAAAATCCCACTTTCTCCAGGAATCCTTCTCCAACACCTCTTGATTGCAGTGCCTTTGCTCTGTTATTATCTCCTTTTTATCCTGTATCTAGCTTGCTTTGTATATGTATGTGTGTATGTGTATATACATACAAAAATACATACATATGTGTGTATGCGTATGTATATAATTTGTATGTTGTCTCCCCCATTAGATTGTAAACTCCTTGAAGACAGGGACTCTTTTGTCTCTTACCACATCCCCAGCACCTAGCATGGTACCTGGAACATAGTAGGTACTTAATAATCCTGATGAAATCACAAATACAGAGTTAAAATTTTGTTATGCTACCTAATTCACAATGAATGCTTAGTAATTCTAAGAATGCCGTCCTCTTTTTCCTGCTGTTTGCAACCTGGTAATTTCATTAGCATCTTCACCAGAGTTCAAAAACCAGCTTTGTTCCTTCAGAACATACTAAGTACCTCCTATGTGCAAGTAGTTTAGTGTCCTCTCATTTTAGCCATTTATTATTAATTTGGGCAGAAGACTTGATAGAGGAATTTAATGCTTTTGACTCTAGTGGATTTGTGCTCTCGTTGATGTGGCTTTTCCCAAAATCCTTTCATGGACATCCATCATCCTTAGCAACTCTTGTCCGTGTCCTCCCATAATATGAAAGCTTGGGGTCCATCCAATGGTCTGAGGGGTCTTCCTCTATTTCTTTTGACGTTGCAAGCGTACTAGTGGAGCAGACAAACTGCCCAGAGATTAGCCCTTGCTCTTGTTATTCAGTCATTGCATCTTACACCATCGAAATTTTGTGTGAAATTATTACAATCAGTTTTATTATAATTATTTTTATAATATTATTTATTATACTCGTAATTATTATAGTCCTTCATACCTTCTATCTGTATATCATTTTGTCACCAATGACTTAATTTAAGTAGTTTTCAGGTGCAGTTTTTTAATTGCGTACCATAGTCTTTACTCATTTTAATTCTCTCTTCAAATTTTGTACTACTTTTGATTTACACTCCTAACAAGTTAGTGGTGTAACCATACACAGACCTCAGGAATAATTCTTATATCTGTGACAAATCATTTCCCATCATTAAAATCAAATGAGTCTCATTTTCATGATATTATTTGATCCTTACCATTTCCAATGTCTTCCAGTTCTTTTAAGTAAATTGTTTCTGATAGATAAATTGGAGGCTTCTGTGTGGTTTTCAAGTCTTTCTTTCATTATTCCTGAACCATAATTTCCAACATTTTTCATGATCCTCACCTATTTCCACCTTTGTATTGAAGTCTCTAAATTAATATCACAGTATTTGCTTTTGACAAAAATGTTTTAAATTGTCTTTGAATTTCATTTTTCCATGCTGTACTTGGGCATACCCAAGATTCATAAGCCATCTTGGAGCCAGGGTCATGATTAATTAAGGATATACATTTCTTTTTTTTTTTTTCCTTTTTCGTGAGGCAATCAAGGTTAAGTGACTTGCCCAGGGTCATGTAGCTAGTAAGTGTCAAGTGTCTGAGGTTGGATATGAAAGCATATACATTTCTAATGGTTTCTGTGACTGACATTGAAACTTCCTGTTTTTTTTCCAAGCAGTAATAAAGTGCATTAGGTCATGTCCAATTTAAAAACAGAATTTGCCACAGAAATAACTTCACTTATACTTTTAATCCCATAAACTCCTATCCCACCCCCAATCTCTTAGGACACAACTTTATCAATTAATCTATCAAGTAGTTAATGAAAAGAAGAAAGAGATAAAATGGTGCCTTAAAGGCTTAGCCAAATCAAGGGGACGTATTTAAACACACACAAGTATATATGTGTTTATATATATATATGTTTGGATATATGTTTATATATGTGTATGGATACACACACTATATGGGAGAGCTGAACATATTTTGAGGTAGAATGAAAATAGCCTATGTAGAGGAAGAAATGCAGGAAGGGTGGGGGGTGGGACTTTCAAGTCATCAGAATGTAGGGGGATTCTGTCTTGCATTTCTCCCTCTATTTTTATTCTGTCCAAAAATACACTTATATCTCCCATGTAAAAAATATACTTCCCTTTGATTTTGCTTTTGAGAAAACATTTTATCTCTTCCCTTCCTTTCATTTTCTAATTACTTGAAAGAGTAGGCAATATTTACTGCTTCTATGTCCATACTGCAACCTTACTCCAGAACCTGAGGCATCTGGCTTCTGCTATCACCACTCTCATCAGTAAAATATTTTATAATAATAAAATTCTAAATACTATATATTGTAATAACTATATATATATAATATGCATGATATATGTATATATAATATATCTTATAATAATAAAATGCTGTCCTAATAACCTCCTTGTTGACAAATCCAGTGACTTAGGTCATCATTTTAAAGTAGCTAGGTATCACAGTGGATAGTGCACTGGGCCTCAAATTAGGAAGACCTGCGTTCTAATGTAGCCCCAAAGACTTAATACCTGTGTGACCCTGAGCAAGTCATTTCACCTCTGCTTGCCTCAGTTTCCTTAAATATAAGATGGGGATAATAACACCTATCTCCAATCCAATAACATAATATTTGTAAAGTGTTTATGGTAAAATGCCTGACTCAAAGTAGATGCTGAATAAATGTTTGTTTACTTCCTTCTTTTACCAGTTTCCTTCCTTCCCTTTACGTAACTCTGCACCGTTAACGTTGTTACCCTCTCCTAAAAACTCTTCCCCTTTAGCTTCCATGACTCTGAATTTACCTGTTTTAATTCCTGCCTCTCATCGTTCTTTTCCCATGCTTTCAAGATTTGTTCTCTTTGGCCTATTGAAAGTAGCCATTCTCCAAAGTTGTAATCCAGTCTCACTTCCCTATTTCTGTTAAATGTATTCCTCCTTTTTGACTTTGTGGCAGAGGTTGATACAGTCAACCACCCTCTTTCTTAATATTTTCTCCTTCTGTAGTTGTACTGATATAATGTACTGATATATGTACTGTCTACTGATTATTTGCTGACCTAGCCAAACACTCCTCTGTTTCCTTCTGAAGTTTATCTTTCTTCTTCTGCCTCCTAAGTACGTGTGTCCTCTAAGGCTCAGTCTTCAGTCTTCCCTTTTTTTTCTTTCTCTATACTTCTTTCTCTACTCCCATGGCTCAAAAAAAAATCACTTTAATTTAACAAGCATTTTAAAGCCCCTACTCATACACATGGCACTGTACCTGAGATACAAAGACAGAAAGGAAAAAAGCTCCTGCCTTCAAGAAGCTTCAGTTCTACAGAGGGGATACAACGTGTGCACACATGGGTGCAAACACAAGATAATTTGAAAAGAAGAATGCAAACAGCCAAAGGGATGAGGAACTGGCGACTGAACTCCTATACAGATGATTTCCAAGTCTATATATCCAGCCCCAGTCTCTCTCTTCTGAGCACCAGTTCTTCATTTCCAACTGTCTGCCTGATGTTTCTGCGTGCAAGTTCCTAATTGTACTCCTTGTCTTTATCCTTAACTTGCTAACAACTTATTTCTGTTATTGGCACACCATATTGCTAGTCACCTATATTCAAAACATCAAGCTCAACCTTCACTCTTCTCTGCTCAGCCTCAACTTCTAATCAGTCACCAAGTCACTGATGCTAATCCCACAGAGTCTCTGGCATCTATCCACTCCTTTTTATTAATAATTCGTTAACCCCCTAGTTAAAGCCTTCTTTATCTCTCCTAGACTATTCATGTAGGATCCTAAATGGTTTCTTTGCCCCCTTGTTTTTCATCTCTAATCTATCCTTTACACATGCCAAAATAATATTCATGCCCAAACCTAACTGTATCACTCACCCCTCAAAACTTTTCATGTCTTCCTGTTGCCTCTGGAATCAAATACATGTGACTTAGCCTGTCATTTAAGATTCTCTGTAACTTTCCTCCAACCTATGTTTTCAGCTATATATCACATTCAGCTTCACCAAACATTTTTTAAAATTACAAATTATTTTTAATTTTTTTAAATCACACTAGGGGCAGCTAGGTGGCACAGTGGATAGAGCAGTGGCCCTGGAGTCAGGAGGACCTGAGTTCAAATCCGGTCTCAGACCAGACACTTGACATTTACTAGCTGTGTGACCCTGGGCAAGTCACTTAACCCCAATTGCCTCGCAAAAAAAAAAAAAAAATCACACTTTGTGCCAGCCAAACTGCCAGCTGTTTGCCAGTCTCTTCCTGCACACTCCATTTTCTCATGGATTGTGCCCCATTCTTGGATCCCACTCCCTCCTGTTCTCTTACTGTTGAAATCTTTCCTTTTTTTTTCTAAGGCCCAGTTTGGATTCCATGTCTTCCTCAACTCCTTCCTAATTCCTGCTTTCCTCTCACCCCAGATAAAAATGATCCCTGTATCTTCACATTTTCCAAGAGTACTTTGAGCTTCTCCTTTGCCCTTATCGCATTTTACATTACATCCTATTTCTTTTGTTTATATTTTATTCCCTGTCTTTGAGTGCCCAGACTATATTGTCTTTCATCTTTGTGTTCCGGGTAACCTAATATGTCGTGCCTTTTAAAAAGTTGATTGAATGTTAGTTGAAAGAATTGATATATGCTTTTCATTTCAAATAATACTTATTCCAAGTCATATATAGAACTTTCAAATATTAAGAATATTATTAGTGTATCTTTGACAAAAGTATTCTCTTTCAGGCATATTCCACAGTCGGAACTCCAGATTACATTGCTCCAGAAGTATTCATGCAGACTGGGTACAACAAATTGTGTGACTGGTGGTCTTTGGGAGTGATTATGTATGAAATGCTAATAGGTATGACTTTCATTATTAACTTCAATCTGCAGTATATAAATGTTCTTAAGGGGCTCTGACAGAACATACTAAATATTCATAGTTACCATTAGAAATATGCCATCTCATGGTTTTTGTTTTTGGAAAGTTGTTAATTCTATTTTTGTTTATGGTGAAATAATAATGGAAGCTTTGGATATGCATGTTTTCAACATATTTAAATATGTTAGATGTGTTTTAATATACTTAAATATGTTTTTCTGAGTGTAGAGTTTAGGGAGATGTTTATAAAACCATTGTGGCAAAAAGGAGATAGAAGTACTTTTAAAGAATCCTTTGTATACTTTGAAAGGCAGGGTGGTGTCATGGATAGAGAGCCAACCTCAAGGCCAGGAGGACTTGAGTTTAAACCTGCCTCTGGCACATACTGGTTGTGTGACCCTGGGCAAGTCACTTAACCTCTAGGTGCTTTAGACTATATCTTTAAGACTATATGTCGCAGAGAACATGATAAACCACGTTAGTAAAGGAAGCTTTCTTATTTGGGAATGCTGTACAGTCAAATCAAGTCAAGTGAGCAAGCATTTATACTAATGAAATGATCAGTCTAGTTTCTGTGTTATATATATTAATACCTAGTACCTATTCTCTTTTAACACACATTGAGCTGTGTTATATCTTGTGGTCCAAATAATCCCATATTTAGCAGGGATTGAAGACATCATCTAGTTGGTCCCTCATTGGCTACCTGTTCCCTCTAGGATAAAATGAGAACTCCTCAGCCTAGTACTTAAGGCTTCCTACAGCATGTCCCCAACTTTCCTTTTATGCCTTATTTCACATTATTCACTATCACATACTCCCTGTTATTGTCAGATTGGGCTGTTAGCTGTTCCCCAAATTCAACATGTCATTCCCTGTCCCCATTTCCTCACACGGGCTCCTCCTTCTGGAATGGACTCCTTCATCTCTGCCTTTCAGAATCCTTATCTTTCTTCACGATTCAGCTCAGGCACCAACTTCCCTTCACTTCAGCAGAAAGTAATCTCTCCCCCTCTCTGCCCAATGACTAGAGCTCTTTGAGCTCTTCTTTACCCCTTCATACTTCATATATGTTTATTTGTGTATGTGCTGTATCCTATTGGTAAAATGTAAGCTCCTTGAGGGAAAGGACCATTTTGTTTTTGTCTTTGTAGCCTCAGTTCTTGCATTATGTTGTAAGTGGTAGGTGTTTAATAAGGAAGTAAGGAAGGAAACAAGCATTTTTTAAAGTACCTACTATGTGCCGGGTACTGTGCTAAGTGTTTCACAAATAGTATTTCATTATTTATAATAATAGAGCTTGAATCCCAGCTACAACAGCAGTATCATCATTTACTTTCTTTCTTTTTTTTTTTTTTGGTAAGGCAATTGGGGTCAGGTGACTTGCCCAAAGTCACCCAGCTAGTATGTGTCAAGTGTTTGGTCTGAGGCCGAATTTGAACTCGGGTCCTCCTGACTTCAGGACCGCTGCTTTATCCACTGCGCCACCTAGCTGCCCCGATCATTTACTTTCCTCAAAAAAATCCCTGAAGGTAGTGGAAGTATTATAAAAATTGTTTTATTCTGAAGTACATAGATAAAATAAAATGACCATTGCCATATGCAAAGTAGAGCAAGAAGAGGATTGAACATAAAACTGTGAATCTCTATCACCTGCAACTTGCTTTTCCTTTTTTAGCATATAATAATTTTAACACATAACTTTCAAAGGTCTTCTGTTTGTGCTTCCTTCTGGCCTTCCTTCTGTTCTCTTCTCTGCATTTAAAAAAAGTGCTTCCATGACCGTCTTTTCTTTCTTTTTTCTCTTTTTGAGAGGCCACCTTAACTCTTACCTTCATCACTCACCACTGACAAAAAAAAAGAAAAAGAAAACTCTTGCAACAAATACACATAGTCAAAAAAATACATTCCCACATTGTGTCCAAAAATAGATGTCTCATTTTCTACTGAGAGTCCAATACCTCTTGGTCAGGAGAGACATAAGTAAAAGCATTTTTATCACCATTTTATAGACAGTGAAACTGGGGTTAAGAGCTTATGTAACATTCAGCAAAATACATGCTCCCTGAAAGCAGCCACAGTTCCTGGCACCTAGAAGGTACTTAATAAATGCTGATTGATTGACTTGCCCTTGGTCGCAGAGATAGCCTTCATACTGGGACTAGAATTCAGTTTTCTTGGCTCCAAATTTCATGATTTTCTTCTAGACAGTACTCTAGAGGTTTTCAAGCAGGAAGCCAGATTAACTACTTATCTGAGATCTTGTAGAGAGCTGCTTAAGAAAGGTAGGACTAGGTAACCTTTAAGATTCCTCCTAACTCTGAAATTCTATTAATTCAATTCAGCAAACATCTCTTAAGTATTAAATGGGTGCAGATCACTGTGCTAAAGACTAAGGAAGATTCTGAATTTAGCTAAGATGCAGCCCTGTCCTCAAGGAGTTTATAATCTAGTCAGAGAATTTGATATAATGTTTGTAAATAAGTATAAAATAATGCATGTTAAGTTCATAATAGTAGTTATAACAGAGTGATACATTAGTGTCAGTTGAGTAAAGGTCATTTCCAATTGAGGCAATCAGGGGAAGCATCTTTTATTAGGAGGTATTTGAGGTGGTCTTTAGTGAATGGGTATGAATTGAACAGGTGAAGGAGGGCTATCTTATTTTGGGCATGAGTAATAGGTCGGACAGAGGCACAGAGTTGGGAGGGTGCAGGTGTGCTTTAGCTTCAGTGGAGAGGAAGTGAAGGGGAGTGGTTAAACATAAGACTGAAAAGGTAGAATAGTATCAGATCATAGAGGAACTTGAGTGTGCCAGAACAGAGAAGGCAGAGAAGTTTGAACTTGAGACGATAGGTTTTTAGCAAAAAGTAATGTGAACCGAGCTATAGTTAAGAAGTTAAATCTGACTGGCGGTGTATAAGAAGGACTGGATGGAAGGGGAAAGCAAAGGCAGAAAGCTTTTAGTAAGTGGTTAACATTATGTAAGAAGGCAGCAATGAAGTGCCTGTCATAATGAGAGTCCAGTAGGAATAGAGAAGAGGAATTGGAGTTAGGAAGTATCAAAAATGTAGAATTGGCCAGATTTAGTAAACTAAGTATATATGAGATGAAAAACAGAAATGAATCAAAGTTAACACTAAGGTTTTGTACATCAAAGTCTGTTTCTGCCCTACAGAGCCAAGTAGATTAGGCCTAATCTGTCTTCTCACATGCTATGATTTATATAGTTCTTACTGTGTTTGATCAAAAAATCAGATGAAACTTTGTTATCTTTGATATGTAGGATATCCACCATTCTGTTCTGAAACACCACAAGAAACTTACAGGAAAGTTATGAACTGGAAAGAAACTCTAGTATTTCCTCCAGAAGTACCTATATCAGAGAAAGCCAAGAACCTAATTCTCAGGTTAGTGCCTAAATCCATATAAATGACCCATTGGAATCTTAAAGATGCATAATTAAAATGTAGCAGGATATTTTAATTTTTTCAGCAATTCTAATTGGGATTTAGAACATACTGATAAAGAATGTACCCTACTTTCAGGAATAGCCTGATCTGCTCCTTAATTAGGATGGTAAAGAGCAGTGATGTTTTGAATATATATAATCTCATGAAAAAAAAATAAGGAATGAATAATCATCTATTAAGAACCAAGCTCTGTGCTAAGGGCATAATGTACACTGTATATAGCTACAAAAACAAAGACAGTCTTTACCCTTGAGAAGTTTACAGTATCATGGGAGACGATGCATATACTTTACAGTCTAATGAGGGAGGTAGTACAGATAAGAGTGGTGAAGAGAGTGGGATATTTTTGAGTGGTAAAGGGAACCAAAATGAATTAGATTGATACACACCCTTTCTAGGAGCGGTGATAGAATTCATTTCATTATGGTTACTAAAAGAATGGAGGGGATGGTTAGGGGGACAGAAAGTATACACCCAGTATGGCCACTAATGGAAAGAAGTGAAGAATGGCTGGAACCCAGGCCTAGAGGCAACCACCAATCAGGACAAGTCGCAGGCGTGGGTAAAAGTTTTTATTCTCTTGTACGGCGAGTTGGGAAATAGTGTTATAAGGTGTAATTAATCTGTTGGTCTCACTATTTGGGAAAAACTGCTGTGAAAACTGGAAAGCAGTCTGGCAGAAATTAGGCATAGACCAACCTTCACACCATATACCAGGAGAAACTCCAAATGGATATATGGCTTACATGTAAAAAGTAACATATAAACAAATTAAATGAGCAAGGAAGAAATTGTCCATCAGATCTATGGATCTGAAGAAATTCAGGACTAATACAAGGGATAAAGAAGACCACACAAGAGAAAATGATAATTTTAATTATGTAAGATTAAAATTTTTTTTTAAACAAATAAAACCAGTGCAGTTAAAATTAAAGGGGAATAAATGATTGTGGAAAAAATCTTTGTGGTAAGTTGCTCTGTTAAAGTTCTTGTATCCAAAATATATAAGGAATTAGTTCAAATTTGTAAGACTAAGAGTCATTCCCCAATAATAAATGGCAAAAGGATAGAAACAGGCAGTTTTAAAGGATGAAATCCAAGCTATCAATTGCCATATGAAAAAAATTCCTGTAATCGGTAATAATTAAAGAAAAGCAAATTAAAGCAGTTCTAAGGTTCAGCCTCATGTCTATTAGATTGGGAAAGATGACAAAAGAAGAAATTTTGTTCTGTTTGACCATATATATTTGTTGTGAGGGCTTATTTTTCTTTATATTGTTTGGAGATAAATGAAGAGAGAAAAATAAATATTCAAATATTGGAAAAATAATTAAAGTTAGAAGGAAATAAAAAGAAAGCAAAAGACCATTATAGTAGAAAATTGTATCCATCTAAGACTATGGCCCAAACTTATAAGAAGAGAAAGGAAAAGGTAAATTTGTTGTAATTGCTTGTTACAAATTTCTATAACCTAATTCATCTAGTCATTCACTCAGAAATCGTTTGCCAAACACCACTATGTGCAAAAACACATACTTGTTTTTTCTCAAAATTTACAAATATAGAATTATTTTATGTTTATTAGTTAAAGATGAAGTATTTCAAATAACTGATTTAATAATAACTTTTTTTTGAAGCTTTCTTGATTGTTATGCTTCTCTGTTGTAGATTCTGTATTGATTCAGAAAACAGAATTGGAAACAGTGGAATAGAAGAAATCAAGGATCATCCCTTTTTTGAAGGAGTAGATTGGGGACACATCAGGTATGTTTATCCAACATATATGACAGGTTAAAAAAAGTTAAAAGTTTAAAAAAAAAGCAGTAAACCTTTGCAATCAGTTTGATCATATGCTGTCAGAACCAAGATAAGAAGTAATTTCGTTGCAGTAGTAGGTAATCATTATTTTTTTAAATTAAATTAAATTAAATTTTTTTTTTTTTTTGGTGAGGCAGTTGGGGTTAAGTGACTTGCCCACAGTCACACAGTTAGTGAGTGTTATGTGTCTGAGGCCAAATTTGAACTCAGATCCTCCTGACTCCAGGGCAAGTGCTTTGTCTACTGCGCCACCTCGCTGCCCCCATAATCAATATATTTTTAAAAACATTCAGCCCATCTTTCATAATTACATTCACATTAGAATATGCAGGTTAAAGCTAATTGACTAAATCCAAGTGTCATTTTCAGTGATTAAAAAACAATTTGAAAATGTACAGTTGTGCCTCTGTTGATTTTTCTATTCAGAGCTATTTTTATTGTTTGAAGTAAGGATTTCTACTTGATCAAAACTATTAGCATTTGAAAATATATTTAGATGTGATAGTAGCTATATTTTTCACCAGAGTAATGGGTTCATTAGACACTTCTATGCATTTATAAAGATAAAATCTCATTTGAACAATTCGTCTTGAAGTAAAAGAGACCATTAGAAACACATTAGATTAATTTGCTTTTTATTCTTTACTCACTGTGAATTATTGGTTTTAGTTTAATAATTTAACCAGAATACTTTCATCATTTTATTAGATTATGATTCTTGCTATTAAAGCCAGTGTGTAAAATTCTGGGAGAAAAAATTAAAGATACTTTTCTTCTACCTTTCAAGAGACACATGCCTAGGATTAGTAAGAGTTAATGGTATAGAGCTAAAGAATGTTAAATTTTACTCATTTAGAAATATATAGTACACCTTGTTTCATTTGAGAGGACTGAGATGTCATGAGGCCTGATCATTTTCTTTTATCCTAATCTGCGTGACTGCTGAAGTGTACAGTGGAAAAAACATTGGATCTGGTACCTAGAGGGACCTGTGTTCCTTCCTCTGATTCTCCCTTTCCTGCGTTACCTTGGGCAAGTCATTTAACTTCGCTAGGCCTCATCTGTAGGATGAGGTGGCAGGACTAAAGATCTGGAGCTATGGTACTAAGTTTGCATTTTGTTTTCCTGTTTTATTTTTTTAATTTGGTTTTATTTTCAGTTCCAAATTCTTCTCTTCCATCTCTCCCCCGTAAGTTTGTGTTTTTATTTTTTTTAGTCCCTTATGATTGTTTTTTATTTTATTTATTTTATTCTTTTCTGATATCTTAGTTTTATTTATTTTTAGTTTTCAACATTCACTTTTATAAGATTTTGAATTCTAAATTGTTCCCCTCCCTCCCCTATTCCCTCCCCAAGATGGCATGTAGTCTACTATAGTCTATACCTGTACAATTATATTTCCACATTAGAAGTTTGCATTTTATACAAACTGATGCATTTAGTTTCCTTTTTAACCTTGTTATCCCATTTCTTTTTCCCCTATACTACCCTCTCCCCCTGCAGAAGGGGTGATGAAAAGACCACTATCAAGTTGTCACTTCTGATCACTTTCCAGATTACAGAATGTTCCAATCTTGGCTAAATCAAGTTGGAGCTAGCTACTCCACTATTTAATACCAGACAGGACACAAGCACAATTTGACATCCTCTAGATAAAAGATTTTTCGATTTTCCTGTAAATTTATTACTCTCTTCTTCCACTCTTTCTTTTCTTCCTTGGCAGGAGGTAGGGATGGGACAGCAGTTAGGAAAATAGAGTATATGATAGTATTGCGTTAATAATGTCATGTAAATAAAGCCTTTTATTTTAAATTACAGAAAGTCTTTAAATTACAAATTTAAAATACATTTAGCTAATTGATCCTATTATACAGATGTTGGACTTCCAACACAGACCTTCTAATACCTCTGTTACTCTTTTGTAATGCAAAGAACAGCATGCAGAATTTCTGAGTGGCATTTTTTTTTTTGGTTCATGGGCAACTAAAAGTAAATTAATATTTACTATAGCTGTTTAATGCTCTTTTTTGGCATGTGTAGGGAGAGACCAGCTGCAATTCCCATAGAAATTAAAAGCATTGATGATACATCAAATTTTGATGAATTTCCTGAATCTGATATCTTACAACCAGGTAAGAGAAAATGCCACTTTGAACTTTCTTGATTATAAAGACTACAGAAATGTAGTCCTGGTTGCTCTTATCTTTCATTGTAAAAGTTCTTTGGAATTCCTTTGTTCATGGTTAACTTGCTGTCTCTGTTTTACAGTGCCAAATACCACAGAACCGGACTACAAATCCAAAGACTGGGTTTTTCTCAATTATACCTATAAGCGGTTTGAAGGGCTGACTCAACGTGGTTCTATCCCTTCCTACATGAAAGCTGGGAAATTATGAATGAAACTCACATACGCCCACACCCCAAAAGAACTCAGGTAGCTGCATCACCAAGGCTTGCTTGGCGTAGATAACAATACACTGAAATAAATATCCCCAAGGACGGTGGTGCTCATCGACTTCAAGAGGAAATTCTACAGGATTAGGATTTCTAAGACTTCTACAGGAATTAGTTGGCAGTGCCAGCTGGATTTTTTTTAATATTTGACTATTTTTGTTAACTTTATTATACAAAGGTACTGGAATAAAAGGAGTGTACATCCCTTTGTAACTGCACTGCCTTCGCGCATATTATGTCCATTCTGCCTCTGTGTACTGTGGCTTTGTACTGTAACACTTCTAATCGATTCAGGAGAAACACATATCATTTAAAGCAACATAGGCTAACCTGTAGGTCATGGTGCAGTATTGCTGTTTTCTTGCAAACCTTATGGGTTTAGATAATCAAGATAAAAGCCATCTTCCATAGTTGTTAGAACACTTGCCCTATTGGTTTAAACATCCATAGAGCATATATAAGACAATTTAAATAATGATTTTAATAGAAATAGGAAATACACTGGTTATTTAAAGTTAATTAGGTTTATCATGAACTTATTGTGCAGACTCCACCATACAGGGCGACAAGCTTATGAGCCGGATAAGGAAGTACAACACCTCCACTCAAACACAACACTAAATCATTTACTTTTCATCCAGAATTGCTGTTGACTTGTACACATCTATCTGTGTACTCTTAGGGAGATGTAATTATAGAATATAGAGAGCATCCAATTGCTTTCCTTAAGGCAAAAGGATTTTTTTTTTTTACAGAGAACATGGCATTATTTTCATTTAATTATAGCAAGTTGGTTTTAAGAAATGACTATGAGGGCTGCTTGTATGTAGAATTTGTGTATTTTTATTAAACTATTTTTTTAAATGTCAACCTTTTGATCATGATAATGAATTGGCAGAGATGCCAAGAGCTCTTTACTTTGGCTTTCCAGAAAGATGAAGTTGATACATATCAGATCTGTTGTTTTTTTCTTTCATTGAATGGAAGTCTCTCTTTTGGTAGTACTTGTATTATTGTGCCATTAGTCATTATACTCCAAATGTACCAAAGATCCTGAATTGAGTGGGTGTTCATGACTAAGAGGAATTTTCCTTTTCCTTTGGGAATGACATATTAAGACGTGAAAGGGTTTTGATTGAGGTTAACTTATTCAAGGGCAATATTATTCACATTTAGTTTCATCACTGTGGTTTAAGTAGATGGGTTCCAGGAAGTGAATGTTGGCCAAGGTTTTGTGGATTGGGTGGGGGGAGGGAATGTGAGAATTCATACTCAAATCTAATGATATGGCCAGTGAATCTGTCTTGCCTGAAAGTTAGATAATCTTTTATAGCTCTATATTTTAGTTTTGAAATGACTATCTGAAGTTTTAGCATTTCATGGGGACCTAACAGTTAAAGAGTAATCCATTATGTAAGAATGTCCTAATAATTTGTGTCTCCAAACAATGAAAGCAGTCAACAACTACAATTATTATAACTGACCTTTTTCCAGAATCTAAACTGAGGTTTGCTCTTAGGAGGTTTCCTGCTCTTGAATAGGAAAAATTACATATGAGGATTATGCCAAATTTTTAAAGCTTTTACAGTTGTTGCTGCTAGGTAACCTCACATTTGTCTCAAGAACATCTGGCCTTTACTTTTGCCACCTAATGTTCAGTTCCAATATTTGAACCTCTGCTGTGTGTTAATCCATGACTTCATCTTCTCTATTTGCCATGTCTGGGTCATGCGACTGAGTATCCTAATGGCAAAAGCTATTAAAATTTTGATTTGGGTTATCTCAATTTGACTAACTTTCTGATTTTTCAAAGCTATAACTGCCTTTTATAAACATTTTCAGCTTCCAGGATTCTTTACTAGATAACTGCTGGGTTTTTTTTTAAAGAGCTATCCTAAAAGGATAAAGGTGTTTTGGTAAGATTCAAGGAGATTGCAACTTTATCCAATTCTTAATTTCCCCCTTTTAATCTTAGTAACCAATAGAGTAAAACATCGTTAATTCAAGATTCAGAAGGCCAATATAATGTGTAGTGAAAGGAGCTGAAATACCCACTTTCTCATTTTAATTGGAAGGAAGCAGAAAATTTAGCAAACCTGCTTCTTTCAGATTATTTCATGGAAAGAACCTAGAAATGTTCCCAATTCCTTGTCAGTGGAAGTCATAAGAAGTTTACTTTGTTTAGATTATCACGTTACTTTTCTCACCTTCACACAAGTTAACAGGGTGATGATTCACAATCCATTGAATCATTTCATCAGAAGCATTTCTTAAGTGCCTATCTAAAAGCAATTAAATGTCCTTTGTGAGCCTACAATTTGATTAATGATGCAGATTAAACCAGTGATTTGCAAAGTACTATTGAGACTGAATTTTCACTCTTATACATTACCGTATTTCAGGTAAACCACATCATTTAAATGGCAAAACACTAAACAATGGGTTAATAGCACTTGCTTTGAAATTTGCCATGATTTTGAATTAACAGAAGTTTTACTATAAATTATTTTTCCTAAATATATATAAAACTGTATAACTCAGATTTCTTGATATCTTGATTTTAATGTAGACTTTGACTTTTTTATTGAAAAAAAACCACCTTTATATTAAAGTGAGTTATGTTATTTTTCTTTATGTACATTTCTTATTAATATAGCTTTAAATCTCCTTTAAATTTACCAAAATGTAGAGCTGTCAGAAAATATTGAATTGCTTAGAAGTCACGTATGTGATTTCTTAGCAAATTAATTTTAATAAAATTATTTGGTGAAGATGGGAAATAAGAATTGTAGAATATTGGAAACATTTTTGATCTTCCCAGATCATTATAAAACATTAAGGAAATTAAAATATAAACCTAATGTCCTGGGTTGTTTTGTTTTTTCACTCCTATATATTTTCCTGGAAATCTGTATATTTTAAAACTGTTTTTCCATATTTAAGTATATTATTTTAATGCTTGTCTATGGAAGATCTACAGAATATTGGTATTCCACTTTGTTGGGGGTAGAAAAAAAATCAGTTGTCCAGTTTTTTACAGTTTCCAAAGAAAGCAGATCTCTGTGTTGATAAACTGAGATCCTGTGCCCCTAAACACATTCTCTTGTCTGATTCCCATAAAAATTCTAGATATTTTCTTCTTACCCCAATATTTTCACTTTATTTTCGTTTAAAATTTCTTTCCTTTCCCTTTAGAAGTGCACTTATTTCTGAAAGATGTACATGAGAATACTCAAAATAAACTTAAATAAAAAGACATTCAGACCTCTAGAGGCAATGCTTCAGTTTTCTATGAAAGTTTAATATTTGAGGGTGATACTATTATTTTAAATAAGAACAAGGTTACAAACAGAAAAAATAGACCTCCATTCTTAAAAAGCATTCTGAAAACATAGTTTAGTAATTGTGTAGAGAACTAATCATCGGAATATTGGGTTCTGTGTTCAGTTACTAAGATTTGTAAATGCTGGTTTTGGTGGGGCTTAGGTTTCTTTTTCAAGAGTCAGACAAAAATAAAAAGCTATGTTTACAAAATTCCTTCTGATGAATGGTGGTTTGTTTTGGGGTTGGTCTTGGGTTTTGGGGAGGGCAGTTTATGCTGTTTCAGGTCTTTTCTGTACTCTAGAAAAAAAAATTATGTGTCCAAATTGTAATTCACAGTAAGATTAAAATAGCGGAGGTTATGTTCTGATAACACTTAGGATAGTTATATACATATGTAAATGTGTATACATATATGCATGGACATACATACACGTGTATGGTGTATATTTGTGTATGTACACACACACATATATACACAAGCCATTCCAAAAGCCTTAATGCAGTTTTAAGCCAGAGCTCAAGGAAGAATTCAGGTGAGTGATATGAATTGAGAGTCATCTGCATTGAGTTAATGCTTGAAACCATTGAAATGGATGAGATTACGGTAATAGAGAGTGTAGGTATAAGTATAGAGAGAAGAAAAGAGGGAAGAGAACAGATTAATATGACATGTAAACAGATAAGTATATCAATACTAATTTACCAAAAGAAATCATTAACAACTCGGGATGAGGAAAGGCTTTTCATACGTAGTAGCACTTGAACTGGTCCTTGAGGTAAGATGGGGATTCTCAGAAGCAAAGGTGAATAGAAAGTGTCTCGTTGCAGGCATGAGGGAGACAAGACCATGCAGCATCAGAGAGCTGGAAAATAGAATGCAAAGTTCTGGTCAGTTCAGCTGGAATATACAGTACATGAAGGAGGATGATAGGATATACTCCCAGAATGTCAGGCTGTTGTCAGATAGTGAAGAATTTTAAATGAGAATGTTGATGGGTTTGTCTTTTATCTTCTAGGCAATAGGAAACCACTAAAGATGTGGTTTACATACCAAGACGCATTCAAGATTTTTGTAAATAAGACTGTAAAATGCTTTTTGCTGGGATCAAGGAAGATAAATAATTGACAGCTCATTTTTCAGTTTTAGACTGCACCAACATAATAAAAATGACTGTACATACTATGTGCTGAAATGAAATTGCAGATTTAATGCTATAGCAATCAGATTGACAAGTGGTCACTTTATATAAGGAGATGAAATAAAAACAATCCGTTTGAAGGAACTCAAGGTCTTTCTGGGGAAATAAAGAAAAAAAGCAGGAATGAAGGGGAAATATTAGCATATCTCAAACTATATTATAATGTATTAATCATTAGAAATGTTTGGTACTGTCAACAGAAAAGTAGATCAGTGGAATAAATTAGATAAGCAACATCCAGAAGCATTTGAATATAGCAACTTCCTTGTTTGTTAAGGCCCCAAAGAAAAACTACTGGTAGAAGGAGTTTGGCAGAAATTGCTCTCTACCTTTATAGTAGTTATTTCCTCAGGATGTACAAAAATGCTCAAGTCTACCCCATCCTTAGAAAAGTTTCACTTAACCTTGCCATCCTTTCAAACTTTTGTCCTCGATCTCTTCCTTTTCACTGTCAGACTCCTATAAAGAGTCACTGTCCTTACTTCCTCCCTCTCAATCCTTTACAGTCTGTTTTCTGAACCCACCACTTATCTAAAACTTCCCTGCAAGGTCACCACTAGTCAGCTAGGTGTGTTGACCTATTAAATCTTTTCAAGCTTTCTTCAGTTCCTCTCGCTCCTTGTCCTTTCTCTGCCTTTTGGTACTATTGACCTCACTCTCTTTCAAGACTTTATCTTCTTCCTTGGCTTC